TCACAGAACGTTTTTTTTTTTCCTGCCAAGGAACCCACAAACTGACGGCAGAACTGGGCCGCGTCCAACGACAAAGCTATTTATACCAGAGTCAACTCCAACTCCAACCATTCCAGGGTCATGTAAGAATGATATGGCGCCCCCTACCGCTAAAATATAATTGTTCTTTTTTTTTTTTTAAGAGGTTAGAGTTTTACCCCATCCAAAAGATGGCGCCGTAGGCAACCTTCCATGTTGCCAAGAGTCAGCTCTGATTCAAATAATACACAGTAATGAAGTGTAATAATATTCTAGTTTAAATTTACTGAAAACGTACTCCTGTTTAGTTGAAAACAACACTGATTTACTGGCAGGAATTGAAGAAAGACAAAGATCTTCAACAGCTTTAATAACCAACTGCTGCCACCTAGTGGAAGAGGATTCAACTGCTCTGCCTGTCACGCATTGACGAACATCGGAAAATTATTATCCATAAATAAATAAATAATAGTTTTGGGACCAATTAAGCGACACTGGATAATTTTTTCCGCGACACCTAATGAGCTCTCATGGCACACTAGTGGGCCACGGCCCAGTGGTTGGGAATCACTGGAATAAGAACCATGGTTTAATTTTAGTGAAATAAAAACGTAAGGTTTAAAAAAAAAAAAAAAATCAAAACACATTAACCTGCAGTACCTATGCAGACCTCTAGAGTTGGTACACACGTATATATAAAGACCTCTGGCTAATACTATTAGCCACATTAGCATATAGTAAGCAGTGATGTTTTGTATATACAGCACAACACTTTGAGCTGCCAACAGTTTAAGGTCAGTGTAAATAAAAAGTGACTTCTTCACTTTGTACTTGAATAGTAAAGTATCAGCATCACATTTGAAAAGCAGGAACAGGAAGTGAGCAGACTCTCTAAGCATCTCTCCCAACATTTGTGGATTCTTCTTCACTGCTGTCTTATGTCCCGCACAGAGTTTTTTTCTTTTCTCTGCGATTCTCTTTCAACTCCAGCCCATTTATCTCCAACTCCCAGTCCTACCAGCACAGATTTTCTCCTGTACTTCGCTGCAACACACAGCACAACACTGTGTTGTGACTGTGTGTGCTCTTTCAGGGACAGACGCTTTGAGCACAGGAAGAGAGTGGCAGCGTAACACACACTCACTCACTCACGGGCTGAGAACTCAGAGCGTGGCCTTTCCCACCACTGGCCTTTCTGTATCAACACACTCACACAAACAAGCTCATTCACTCAAACAGGATTTGTGACCCCGGTTTAATCAAACACAGACGGTCACATCTCGTTAAAGCATCTGGAGTAAAAACCACCGAACCAAACGCTGCAGCCTGTGACGTTATTTGAACGTGTGTCACGATGGAAATGGGATTTTATTTTAGTTAGCATTCTTGTTGTTTTAATTAAAAATGACGCGTTGTTTTGAATGGGACGGTATTATGGCTAACTGTAGAAAGCTAACTTATAAGAAACTCCTGTGAAACACGTCTTTGCAGACCTGCGACGATACGGTTTCAGATCCTGGAGCTATAGCGCCTCGTGTTTTAAGTGTTAGGACGGAGAACTGCGTCCTCGATGTAACCTCTACCATGCTACTTCTGATCGTGCTGGAGAAGCAAATTTGGCTAACTGGTGTGCTACAGTTAGCCGTCTCCGCTTTTCGTTTCTTTTTTGACTTTTTAGAACTTTGTACACGTGCTGTGTGGGTTCTTTTCCGGTTTCCAAACTTCCGGTTCAATTTCTTTCTAACTTTAGAAAGCTAACTTATAGATGATCAAACTATTTGACTTAACTGCTGTGAAATACGTCTTTGCAGACCTGCGACGATACAATTACAGATCCTGGAGTTATAGCGCCTCGTGTTTTAAGTGTTAGGACGAAGAAATGCGTTCTCGAGCAGAGTGACAGTCAACCCTCCCCCCCTGTACCATGCTACTTCTGATCGTGCTGGAGAAGCAAATTTGGCTAACTGGTGTGCTACAGTTAGCCGTCTCCGCTTTTCGTTTCGTAGAACTTTGTACACGTGCTCTGTGGGTTCTTTTCCAGTTTCCGAACTTCCTGTTCAAATTCCTTTCTGTGTTAGTATGTTAGAGCATGGTTGACAGAGCGCCACCTGCAGGCCTACAATATGTACTACAGGGACCGGAGTCGTATTCTGTGGTTTGGTTCGTAGGCTACTACTCTACCTAACATGTTAATAAATTATTTATTCAAGTTACCAGTATCGTACTTTTAAAGACTGCGTGGGCCACACAAAATGATTGGTGGGTCGCATTCGGCCCACGGGCCCTGAGTTTGACACATGTATTTTAAGATTTGACTTGGAGTTCCACTTTGGTGCCACATTAAAATCACAAAACATGAAAAAAAAAAACCCACGAATGGTGACATCAGCCATTTATTCAGGCGGCGATGGAATGATGAAGATGAAACGTCCTCGATGTAGAAAAGAAACAAACATTTCAAACCCCGAAAGAGTAAACGTCAAGTTTAGTGTTAACTTCATTTTGATGAATTATGTTAAATATCACAAGGTTTTTTTTATATTATAAAAATACAAGACCATATATAGACAATATAAGATTTCATATCAAAAGGATTCAGATACAAAAAATATCCAAAATATATCGACCGAGGATAAATTACTGCCACTGACTCAGTACTGCAGTTCAAAGGTCGACAACAATACACCAAGTACCAGCTCTCAGAGAGAGAGAGAGAGAGAGAGAGAGAGAAAAGGGCGCTTTCACCTGATTGTGGTAAAAAAAACAAAACAAAAAACCAACTAAATTTAACGTGACTTTTCGTGTCACTTATGTAAACTGTTAACAAAACAAACACGTTTTAATAAAATAAGAACCGTCGACAGCAGCACGCCATAAAATCTTTGGCTGAACAGAGGCAGAGGAAGTCGAGGCCTCTGATTGGACCGTTGTCACTGTAGGTCAGGAAATGTCACAAATCTGTCCTGACATAAACCATCCAACACAAGGCACTTGGAAGACATGAGGCCCAGAGGGTGGGGGGGGGCGGCGGGGGGGGGCCCCCAAAAACACATTATTGTTCAAACAACCCCAAAAAAAGTCCACAAAAAACCCGCACCAGACCAGAGATTCTCCCCACTTCATCACGATACCAAACTGTTTCCCTTCAGGTTTTACTCAGAGTCTCAATAGAACCTCATAAAAAAAAACAAAAAAAAACCCTGTCATCCGTTTTCACGGTCCTCAAATCGGCACCAACTTATAGGAAGGTGAGCTTTGATTGGCCGAAGCGAATTTCCAAAACAGATAAAACCTGATGAGGCTGGTAATGATCCCCGGGGAGTTTGGACCCTGGAGAGGATTAAAAGAATTGAAACCGAGGTTGAAAATAAAAATGAAAAAAAAAAACACTGACAGTGACAGGTGTCGCTGGTGCTTCTTACCACAATGAAGTTGTCGTGAAGCTGCAGGCCGTAGAGCACCCAGGAGGTCGACGTGAAGAAGGTGGCCACGGTCAGGGAGAAGGACAAGCACTGGATGTTCCCGGTACGAATCACAGTCATCTGTGAGAGGAGAACAGGACACATCAGCCAACACTGCACTATTAAAGGTGGAATTCACAAAAATGGGAGCTGGAGAGTCACCGACAACGACAACAGTTTCACAGTTACTTTGTATCAATGTTGCGTTAGCGACCGGTTGCTAACACAACACCTCAACCTTATTTGACCATCCATCCATTTATCCATTTTTGTCCATTTATCCGTTACTGGGTCATGGGGGCAGCAGTCTCCACGACCGCCACCCAAATCACACTGCACCGTACCAACCACCCTAACTGGGATTCGATCTCTAAATCTCGGGATTTGTCTCTGGTTTCCGTTAGCCGTTAGCTTAAAAGCCGTTAATTGTAAAATACATTGCGATAAATTAAGTTAATAAAATAAGAGGCACATCGTTACATGTTACAAAAACAAGGAGAAACAAATAGAAAGAGCAGTGAAAGAAATTGTAATTTACAGATTTTTTACAGATATTTTTTAAGTATTTTTTAAGTATTCAGCTAATTCATGGACACTAAGTGTCCTGACGCTCACTGAATAAACAAAAGGCTGTAATTTCTTCCTGAAAAAAAAAAAAAAAAATCAGTAAACACAGTGAACGCTAGGTTTACGGTTGATTTTTGCCAACGCAGACTCTGTCGTTTTTCATTGGCCATTACAGCCTGTTATCACTTTTAAGACCATGATGATGAGTTTCAAGGGGAAAAAAGATGCCGACTTCAGCTTCTGACACAATTGTCTGAAAATCAGCCTTCACACCAAACACACACACACACACCAAACCGAAGCAAGGTTCACCAAGTACGACCTTGGGAGATTATAAAAAAAAAAGACAAAATGTAACGGTGTCAGGCATGTTCTTCTTTTATATTGGGGTTTTAAAATATTTAACAGGATAAAAAAAAACACACACAGTAACCAAGGAGAGAAGACAGAGACAAAGAAGCAGAGTGAGAATAACAGGAAGACACAGATGAGCAGAAGAAAGGCAGGAAGCTGAGTGAGACAGATGAGGGGAAGGAGGCCGACAGGATGGTGGAGCCAACCAGAAGACGCCTCAGTCAGACGACACAAAAGGAAAAAGAAAGAAAAAAAAAACAAAAACAGGGATTTTTCTTTTCTATATTTACGAAAAAGTGCAGGTGCAAAGGTGACCAGAAGAAAACAGGAGCATCCTCCAGTTGTTTATGACCACTATAAACTTCAAGCTGAAGAATGTCAGACATTTCAGCTCCATCCTCTCTTCTCACACATGGGATGTAGTTCACCAACCTTCCACTAGTAGAAGATGAACTATTTAATCACTATTTAGTTAGAGAGAGAGAGAGAGAGAGAGAGAGAGGGAAGTACTTTCTTTCTATTATGGCAGAAGATACAACATGATATTTGCTATTATTAGAAGTTAACCAAACTATTCTCTGCAGCGCCCCCTTCTGTAGAAAGGACTATAATCGAGTCCCTCCACATCAACACATTTTCAGCTTTGGTCTAGAAAACTCAGTGAAAAAAGGAATTAAAAGAAAAAAAGAAAAAGAAAATCTGTAACTCTGTCCCCCTGCAGGAGTGAAAAAAGGAATATTAAAAAAGGAATAAAAAAAAGAAAAAATCTGTAACTCTGTCCCCCTGCAGGGGCGCACCCCCCACTTTGAAAACGACAAGAGATGAAATTCAAACATGATATTGAGCATAAAAAGGCTGTCAAAGCACACTTGATCATAATGACTTGACATAAATGACTTAATGATGAGAAGATAACGAGCCACCGCAGTGTTAGCAATTAGTAAACAATTAATGATGCAGCAGTGAAGTGTTTTTTTAATGAGAAATTCAGCCACAAACTCCTGACAATTGAAACGCTCCACGTTTACTATCAGTGGAATGTAGGTCAAAAGGTCGACGTCGTGAAGGCAGAGTTTCAGTTTCACAAAAGAAGTGCCCCTTTAATGCACACTATACGGCTATATTTATTGTACATAAACCCCAACCAAATAAAGAGTGAGGGGGTGCTGTTCTATCCCATGATGCAACATGTCTCCTCTGAACCACATATCCCTAATGGCGCCTCCCTTGTGGCAGCCTGTGAGTTGCAACCATGTACTCAATGGCGCCTCCTGTGGCAGCCTGTGTAAATTACAAAAACTCACTTTGTGAATTTTCCCCATTGTGGGACGAATAAGCGATTCAATTATGTCACCTGCGGGTGGTGCTAAGTGGTTCTTTTCTGCCGTGGACCATTTGATGAAGAAACAAATTTGGCTAATCGGTGTGGCTACAGTTAGCCATTTTCGTATCTATTTCGAGTTTGTCTACAGCTTTGTACACATGCTCTGTAGGATCTGGTTTTCCAAAATTCTGGTTCAAAAAATTTTTTGTGTTAGAATATTAGAGCACGGTTGACACAGCGCCACATACAGGCCCAGCATGTGTACTACAGGGACTGGAGTTGTATTCTGCGGCTTATTGTTAACATTGTTTGCACTGGATGGGAGGCTACTGTAGCTGTATTGTTTTGTTTTTTCTCAAAAGTCATCAGTGAAGACGACAAGAAGCCACTCGGCCGGTTCTGTAACTCTGAATGAATGTAAGGTGAGGAAACGAGTGCAAACTGAAAGTGTGTTTGAAACAACCATAAACTATTCCCGTAGATGGTTTATGATCACAGTCCCTTATTTCAAGTCCTCTTTTGACAGAATGTTGTGAATTTAGAGGAAGGGAAAAGACGGAGTGAAGGAGAGAGCCAGCACACGCAGGTGGACGCTGCACTGATTGACACCTGGACCAATCAAAATGAGCCATGTTGCAGATGGCTTTTAACTACGTTGTCACCATCAATTAGGCTCCCAGTGGAGCCTCCTGTCAGGCTGTAGAGGTACTTTACTGCAAACTAGATTGTGATTTACAAAATGAACTTCCTGTTCCGTCGACGACCTGAAACTAAAGTGTCCGACCATAAACTGGTGAATGTGACGAGATCACATTTATGTGACTGTGTATACAGCAGGTTTGTGTGTGTGTGTGTGTAGTGGGAGCAGAACCAGGTCGGCCAGTGGGGACATGTACATGCAGATGGTGATGACGAAGCAGGTGAGGCCCATTTGATTGATGCGGTCTAAGTCATCTATGAGAACTCTGGAGAAGTAAAACCAGCCAAAGAGCAGCATCGCAGCTGCTGTCAGTGTCTGGATCAGCACCAGTTTCTGAAACACACAAAACAAAGAAATCAATCAATCAAAAACCAATCAGTCAAAAACCAAACAGGTGTGAATTGGTTTTACAGTGTGTCCCAAAGAGACGTTCTGCAGTTCCACACTGACCTTTTGCTTTGTGAAGAAGGTGAAGGTGATGATGTAGAGGCACTGCAGGACAGCTCCAATAACATTCACCAGGATGATGGTGTGGTCCAGCTTCAGCATCCCATAATAAAACCATCCAAAGTTACTGCGGAAGAAAGATAAAACATTTAAATTCATCCATCGTCTTCTTCACTGATCCAGTTTCAAGTATGCACTAAGTACGTAACGTGTGTAGGTGTTGACACCTGATATTTGAAAGTCCTGCAAATGACACATTTAATGAGATCTCACTGATCTGTCGCCAATCATCAAGTACAGACGTCATTTTTACTTTTGCAAACACAACTAAATTGTTGTCTGTGAGTTTCAAATGTCAATATGATTAAGGGTGTGTGTGTGTTTGCATGATGTACACACAAGAGGATGAGCTGCATGAACAAAAAAAAGATGCTTCATATATATATATATATATATATACATACATATAAGTTTCTTATAAGAGGCTGTGAAAAAATGTGTCTGCCTGGAGTTTTGAAACTGTGCTGTGTGAAACTAGCATCTGAAGAGAAAATTCCCCAAAACAGCCCGAGGAAACTTACATTCATAACAAAACAATGCACACAAGTATGTGACCCAACCACTTGTGGACATGGCTGTGTATTAAGTTACGTTCAGGACCCACTGCTTGTGTTCAAACCTGCTCACTGAAGACTAATATTGATTTAAAAAAAAGAAAAAAAAAATCTTTATTTGTGCAACGAGCCACACTCACTTCAGGCATGTGGCGAGGTATGGAAGAAACTGGATGTTTTCTGTACTTTTGGTGTGTATCATCCTCTTCAGGTCGGGTCTTGACGAAAACAAACAGTCAGAGAGTCAGAGTCAGAGATGAAGACGATAAAAAAAAGCTTATGGAATTCTATCTACGTGGCACAACATTATATTATAATTTTAAACCGTGATTTAACACAACAAAAAGTCATTACAGTGGTGATCGGTTACAGGTTATCACCGCCTCATATCCACGTTAAAGAAGTTAACTGAGAGTGTAACCACTTGAAGTCCAACTTACAGTCCAGTCGAGAACATCCCGACTGTGAAGACGATGCAGGTCCATGACAGAAGCTCTAAATACTCCATAGGACAGTGGAAAAAAAGTCTAACTAACACCCTCCCGGCGTTAATTAAAAAGTTTTACTGCGTTTAACCGCGACAACTCAAACTTGGGTGAATTACAGCTAAATCTACTACCTTTCACTCTATTTCCGTGTTTGCAATCAGTATGCACAAGGTCCCTGCACTCTGATTGGCCTTCCGATGAAACAAGGGAGAACGTCAGCTCCAATTGCCTGCGGTACGCTGTTGACGTAAGAGCTTACGTCATCGCGTAGCGACGGGGTTGGATGGGTGAAGTAAAAAGAGTTCGCGGTCCAGGTTTTCTACAGTCAGAGCGGAGAATTAAAAATAAAATGTAAAAGAATAAAGTGGAAAAGTCATTAAAATAAAGTCAAAACTTTATAATAACGAGTATATTGACTATATTGTCATTAAAGAATTGTAAGTTAGGAAAAATAAAGTCAATTTAATAATAAAAAATCCAGCCATTCATGTCGAGAAGTGGACAAAGGTAGCGTACATTCTGGAAGAGAAACTTAAATATATCCAGTTACCCAGCTGCATGTTTTAGTAAAAAAACGAATCAATGTACTTTGGGAAATTACTTTCTAAGTTTGTAAAGTTTAGAAGACACAAACAACCCAGCTCTTTCTGTCTTTTCACTCCTGTCTTCTCATTTGTCAACCGTACCTTATTATTGTCAGATTGGTTTACCTCAACTGAAAACACTTCTAGGATTATTGTCTTTTGGCAACACCTTCATTGGGTGTTGTCAGTATACTTTGTCCTTTTTATTGTACTGCAGCGTGGCCAGTTGTACTGCGTTAAACAAAGGTCTTTTATTTTATGAACACATGTTGTTTTAATCTGCAATGGTTTCTAGAGCTACAAGGTCCACTTTGCTCTCTAACAAAAGATTCTCTTTGAGATAGTGTTACGTTTGCAACTACTGCATTACTAATGCTTGAAATTACTGGTGAACCTTTACTGAAGAGTAACCCAACATATTAACCCATTTATATTAACCATAAATGTATTTTTATGTCTCATTGAGAAACTGCTAATTGTTATCCTCTTTAGCAACAGGTAACTAAACTAACATACATTAGCATTAGCATATTCTAACATATAACACATGGAAAGGTAAATATACAGAAGAGGAGGATAAACGTATTTAAAATTTCTAAATGATGAGACATTAACCTAAATGCAAAACAGGTGAAAGGTGAAAATATTAGTTGGTTGATAAAAGTTAGTTTTATTTAAAATATACTAGTCAAGAGTACAAGAAAGTACTGTCATAGGTGTACATTCATACATGATGTATTTTAAACAGTGTATGAATAAATATTAAATGTAAATAAAATATTTTAAACACAGAGGATTTATATACGAGGTCACTCCTGCCTCTACTGCCCTCTATCTACCCCCCAACACCCCATATTAATGTTATTATATTAATAATATATTACGCAATGACACTTTCATTATTATTATTATTATATAGATATTATTCTAATTCTGGCAGAAACTTAAGTAAGAGTTACTTACACTTAAAAGTTAACCTCGAAAGGTGTTAGCGCTTTGCTAAGTGACGTCATGTTCAGCTGAACAGAAGACTCGCTGTAGAGTGGACATGTTTGTCCAGTAGAGTCAAAGTATGTGTCTGTGCGTATGTGCGTACAGTGAATTTAAAATATGACGTATTTTGTGGAAAAACAAATAATGCTGTACAGTGGACATGATTGTTCTGAAGTTGTCCAGTAGAGTCAAAGTATGTGTGTGTGCGTATGTGCATACAGTGAATTTAAAATGACGTATTTTGTGGAAAAACAAATAATAATATTAAAAAACCCTCTTGTTTCATGTTCCGGCCACACATATGTTGCATGGTTTTACAAGTGACGGTGACTTTTGACAGTTTTCAGTCAGCTCTGAGGTCGTTGCTCTCCACACCTCCTCACTGCAACACACCACCGTGTGGATGTGTGGACGGACACTCAGCTCTGCCCTCAAAGAGGATGTAAAGGGCGAGAGAGCATGTGATTGAGTAGGTGAGTGACACCTTCACACCCTGTTGTCAGTTTGCCCGTGGGCCTCTCTCCTCACACTGTCCCGCGTTATCGCTCCTTCATCGTCCCCCTCTCTTGATTCTCGTGTTTGGTTTTCAGACTGAAACCCGAGTCAGAGCTCCGAGGTCAGGATCAAAGACAGATGTGGGAACGAGAGAGGGTGGAAAAAAAGAAAATGTGAAAGTGGCTGCAAAGAGTAAGTTTGATGGAAGCCGTCCATCAAAACGTCCACGACCCGAGTGGCATTTCAGTATAAAGTAAACAGACACAGAGGAGAAACTGGAACTGGAACCGTGAGGATATTTGTGACAACACATCTTTTTTATTTATTTCACTAAAGTTTCATTTACTTCTTAAAACAGTTTTATAGAGTTTTCTCTATGTACATATTCACATATAGACATTTACAAAGAATGATGCTTCACAAAAACAAATGAATAGTATCTTGTAGGAAGTCCCTTCAGTTTAAGATTTGACAGTGTGCAAGTGGAGTCACATCTGTGACCATCAGCCAGTGTACCATACCATGATACTGTGTCAGCAGCAGAAAAAAAAAAAAAGAGTTAAAAGAAAAAACAACATAAATATTGAAGAAGATCAGCTCCCTGAGGTTGTTCTGTGTTTGTTCTCTTTGGCTCCTGGTATAATGTTCATGTTAATTCTGTTGTGATATTTTGTTTTGGTTTTTCTCTTAAATGACATTTACTTCCTAAACGTGTACTGGCAGGTACTTCTGAAAGGTTTTTTTTATATGGATTACCTGCAACAAAGAGTGCCTTTTTTTTGGGTAAATGTCAAAGCGGTGCTTCATCGGTGACTTACAGAGGTTCCTTTCAGAGTTGGTCTTAAATGTCGGTCCTGTGTGATCCGATCATGTTAAAAAGAACTGCTTTCACCTGCCATACAATCTGAGTGACCTTTATTCTGGTGCACACGGACAAAAGGCTACTTTGCAAGTAGAAATAACTGTTTGTTTGTTTTCGGCTCTCAAAATTATTCAGTTTGTGAAAATTAATCAAATTAGAATCAAACCAATTTTTAATTCAACGGTGCAGCAATTCCACCATCCATTCACTTTTTGTCGTTGTAACAAACAGTGACGACACATGTTGTTATTTGTGAGTTTTCATTTTTACGAACGCACCTCGAGCTTAAAATGCCATCTCAAGTCCCAGCATGCTTTATGGCTTTGAAAGCAACTCTGGACACGTTTTACAAGGTCAAATGTCAAGAGAAGAAATGACCTGAGAAATGTTGAGTTATAATTTTCCAATTTTTCTCATTTTTAAACTAAATAACCGGTGTGAAACACGCACATCTCACGGCCGTCATTTGTCTTTTTGTTCCAGTTCTTTCCCTGATAATTAACAATGTTGATTTATCTTGATTAATAATGATTAATCCACAGCTACCCTGTGATTAATACTGATTAATTTTTTTATTATTTGACCGGCCTTAAAAAAAAAAAAGGTCATAATCAGCGTGAGTGTATCAGTGACGGCAGCAAATGTGAGGAACTGCAGCGGATCACAGGCTGACAGCTCAGGAGACGTTCTCCAAAACACCCTGAGGGCAGGCTGCATCCACGGCTGCTCAGGAATGTGGCCATAGGCTCTCATGAACCACCGCCATATATGGGTTTTGTGGCTGGAACTCACGGCCCAGAACAGTCCAAGTTTGGACTGGAGTGGTGGTGCGATCACGACCGGACCAGCGACCACCGCGGCTCGACGTCAACACCAGGACAGAACAGACTGGAGGTGACACAGGGAGCTGAGTGCTACATGAGGAAAATACTATAGGATGTAGTGTATACCACTTTGGCAGCTGCCAATAAACGTTTCCAATACACAAGCAAAAATTACATGACAAGGTGAAAAAAAAAAAAAAAAAAAAAAAAACGACAGACAGCAGTTAAAGGTCTGTAGTTCGATGCACAGCTGTACCGAATGCTATGAAATCTTCGGCTTTAACGACGGCGACAATGTTTCCATTCCAACTGCAATCAAAGTTATTCAAGTGTTCTGATCAGTGTGCTTTCAGGTCTGACAAAAAAAAAATTCCTTGACAAAAAAATGTCCATGAGGTTTTCTTCTGTGGAATGATCAACATTCCACCTTTACACAAACACCAAACACTCACACACACACACCACTGTCCACGTGTTGTTGTTGTTTTTTTTTTATATAAAAAAATCTGTATTAAAAAAAATCTCTCAGAGTTCATGGTCCCAATGACCGGCATCGGTTTTTGCATAGTCTCTGTTAGCGTTAGCCTCACTGCAGCATCAGCGCTAATAAGACTGGGATGATGGTGAAGAGGAGCGGGAGGGAGAGGAGCTGCGCTGCCGAGTTGCCCACACTTCTCTGGACGTTGGGCTCCATCACAGCGGGATCATCTGAGGAAACAGGAGGAGACAGAGTCAGTGTCAGAGTCCAGCGCTGAGACCAGAGCTAACGCTGCTAACGCAGCTAACGCAGAAAAACAAGGACTATTTACATCCGTCTGGCAATTTATATCAGAATCCTCACCTGCTGGGAGCTGGTTGGAGGGGTTGTGCCCTCCCCCCCCAGTAGTGGGGAACTTCACTTTGTCTCCGTCTTGTCTTTTCCCCACCTCCTCTTTGTTTGACTTGTCTGGGTGAGATTTTCCAGAGCCCTTGTTTCCAACTACGTCCACCCGCAGCCTCAGACAGTCCTGTCCGTGGTGATGCATTGGTTTAGCTGGAGACATTTAGGGAAAAAAAAAGGTCAAGGGTCAACTACGAGAAAACCTTGGCCGGGTCCGTAATTGCTTGCAGCTCTGTTTCTCACAGATACTCACAGATATAATAGTAGCTCTCGCCCTGTCTGAACTCTTTGCCCAGGGTGAAGGGTGTGAAGCGCTGGAACTTCTCAGAGAATTTCTCCGGGGCGTGGGGAGCGAAGGGCCGCGAGCACTCCCAGCGCAGCTGGTCAAAGGAGTGCGGCTTGCACACCTCGTAGTCCTCCTTCTCCACCATGTACAGCACGTAGCGCTCGGCCGCGTGCGATGACACCTCGCCGAGGCCGTAGTGTGGACAGATGATGTCCAAGTAGTCATTGATACGCACGTCCACCGTGTAGTCATCCCACAGGAAGCTGCAAGAAGGGAGACAGGAAGAGAGGTGGTTATTGACGAATATCCTCACCCAGTCAAAAAAAAAAAAAAAAAAAAAAACAAAACCAAACCAGAAAAAGAACCGCACGTGTATGTAACACACCTAACGCGGCATACGCTTTGCATAGGAATCAAGGCTAAACGCGAAGCGCCACGTGCGGCTCCACGCCACCGACTTAGTCACACGAATGACATGTGTTAACGCCATGTCAGGGTGGTGATGTCGGCGCCTTCTGATTTGCGCAGATACAAACAGAAATAGAAAAGAGTTACATCTGGTCAGACTTGTTTTTGTGCTGCAGCACAGACACACCCTCGTCACACTCCTCACCTGATCACAGACAATAAACCATTTTAATGATTTTAATGACACGCCCCCCCCCCCACGTCCCCCCCGCTGTATATTCATAACATAACTTTTTTTTACAGCACATCAGTCGTCAGTCTGTGCGGCTCAGACTCTTCCTACAGTCGGAGTTTCTCTGACGCGGCTCCTGTTGAGGACACGGACAGACTGTAGCTCTCTCTCTCTCTCTCTCTCTCTCTCTCTCTCTCTCTTTCTCTCTCTGTCTTTTCATCCTCACCCTTCATTTAGTTTTATGGCTCTTTTGCAACCTTCCTACCTCCTCTCTGCTCACTTCCTTTCTTTCT